ATCTTATAACGCAATGCACCGCATACCGGGCAAGCGTTCACATCCTCGTACTCACCGCGGTAGAGGATGCAGTCATTAGGGCATGCATGTATCTTTTGCACCTCTAACCCTAGAGGGCAGACAGCCTTCTTTGCTTCATACGTACTCTCGGGCAATTCGTTGTCCTTTGGAAGCATATTCTTTATCATTACCAGTAACTTTCCAAATCCCTTGTCAGATACACCATTCTCTGCCTTCCATTGCAGCAATTCAAGTGTGGTGCCCAACTTTTTTTTTGTCAGCTTCGCAATTCGGGTACAACAATTTCTTGTGATCCTCTAACATGTGCTGCAACTTCGTCCTCTCTAGATCACTTGCGCAGTTTCTCTTTGCATCGGCAATGGCCCGACCTAGATCATCAGCGGGCTCATATGATGCCTCTTCTTCAGCTTCTTCCTGCATTGCCAGCTCAGCTTCTTCCCCCATTGTTGTATCATCGTATTCAGGGAACCCATGGCCAGGATAGCCGTCGTCGTCCTCTTCTTCTTCATTGTCTTCCATCATAACCCCTATTTCTCCGTGCTTGGTCCAAACATTATAGTGGGGCATGAAACCGGACTCAAATAGGTGGACGTGAATGGTTCTTGACATAGAGTAACTGTGACCATTCTTACAGCCAGCACATGGACAAGGCATAAAACCATCCGCCCGCTTGTTTGCCTCAGCGGCAAGCAGAAAAGTATGCACGCCATTAATGAACTCGGGAGAGCATGGGTCATCATACATCCATTGTCGGCTCATCTTCATTACACAACACCGAATAGACCAAATTAATACAAGTTCATACATAAAGTTCATATACAGCACTTAATTAAATGCAACATACAAATAACTCTCTAGCTAAAGAATTTAAATGCAACAACAAATGCGATGAAGATCGCAACTTAGGTAACAATTGATCCAACAGCATAATGATACCAAGCCACACTATCAATGGCATATTTTCTAATCTTTCTAATCTTCAACCACATTTTCTCCATCTTGATCTTGTGATCATCAACGACATCGGCAACATGCAACTCCAATTCCATCTTCTCCCCCTCAATTCTTTTCAATTTTTCTTTCAAATACTCGTTTTCTCTTTCAACTAAAGTTAACCTCTCGACAATAGGGTCGGTTGGAATTTCCGGTTCACATACCTCCTAGATAAAAATATCTATGTCAACTTGATGGGCATAATTTGTCCTAAACACGAAATGCAACAACTAGTTTTAAAAGAGAATATACCACATCCGAATCATAACAAGGACGAGGGCCGATGGGGACGGATATCAAAACCATGGCACTATGTATAACAAACAACGTACGGGTAAGATAATTATACGAGTAACAATATATCCAAATCACACAAACATCAATTTGGTAATGTAAAACATTCATGAACAAGAGCCTCACCACAAGTTGGTGCCGGCGGCGGGACGGTGCGGGCGATCGACGGTGGTTACGACGGAGATTTAGAAGGCACTAAGTAAACCACACCTACATATGCAAACTAAGTGTTATTTTTGACCTCAAATTGCATATAAATCAAATACTAGCAAATATAATTCCTCCCAAATTAATCACTATACAAAGCATTGCAAGAGCTAATCTAGCAATGAGAGTTGAAAGGACAAAGTTGCTAACCTTTGTGATCATTTGAATGGATGGGGGCCTTCAAATCTTGACAAAATTTGGGCAAAATTTGTGAGGAGCTCGAGGAAGAGAGGGGAAGAACAGAGGAAGTGAGGGGAAAGGGGAAGAACAGAGTGGCTCGGGTGGACGAAGGGTTTATGTAGGTCGACCTTTAGTACCGGTTCGTGCCACGAACCGGTACTAAAGGTGCTGGAGGGGCCCCAGACTGACAACACCCTGCCACCACTCTCTTTAGTACCGGTTCGTGGCACGAACCGGTGCTAAAGGTTCGCCACGAACCGGTACTAATAAGAACGGCCGGCTAGCCGTTGGAACCGGCACTAATGGACACATTAGTGCCGGCTCAAAATCAAACCGGCACTAATGTGTCTCATATTAGGTCCTTTTTCTACTAGTGTCCTCCTCCTCTGCCGGCGTTGGTGACGGCAGGCATATGCCAATGGAGCGAGCGGGGCACGAGCCATATCCGTGCACACGGCACCACCGTGATGCAGATGGAGCGGCAACTGCAGGCTCTGGTACGCCCATCCCGACGTTCTGCGGAGGTGGAGGGGCACTCGGTCCGGCGACAAGCCCTGGGTCCAGACCCTGGCGGTTGTCAACCGGCGTGGCATGACGGCAACGTCTAGCAGCCACGTGATGGCGGCGTCCTCCAGCGAAGTTTTGGCGGTGGTTAATGCCGAGGCCAGACACTTGTGGTGGTGCGCCCCATTGATGGCGGACGAACCGGCGGCGCTGCTCGGCAGGGAAATGGTGGCGACCTTCTTCCCAGAGAAGGCCAAGGAGAAGAGAGGCAAGGGACGACATCCTCACCGTTTTTCTTCTCCGGCGAGTTCCTGTGTGGCCTATCGCTCTCGCTGGAGAGAAGTGAGTGATAACGTGTAAAAGAATAGTGCAATGAACAGTAATCACTGATATTCATTGATTGTGATGATGTACAAATATATACCTCCTGAAGAGGCGCATCGCACACACGCGATGGTTACAATAGGCACGATTGGAACGACGCGTCCGTTGCTAATAGGATGCGATCGTTCGGGAGCGAAACCGACTGTCCGTTCCACAGACAGAGATTCTATTAATTAAACTAATTAATTAAATCCTAACAGATTCTACTGTCCTAAATGTGTTATCAGGGTAGTGCCCTTGATTTGTAGATGAACATTTTGAAGGCTGGGCCATGTTATGGCCCCACTCAAATTCTCTAACCGCAGTAGTTTCTTGATATATATACTCAGAAAAATACTTCATATTTTAAATTTGTGCACAGATCATTACGAAGGATAAATTTGACTCAACTCATAAAATAAAATAAAATCTGGGTCCACCCCACATTTCCTTCATCGTGTTCCTGAAGCAAGATGTTTGTGTTGACCACGTATTGTATTACACGGTGGTAAACTACCAAGAGATTAGCTGATACCCATTGCCAACTTCCAATTCTCTGTGGACCAGAATTTAATGAGGATGCACTGCAGTCCCACTCATGGTGTCCAAGAGATTACTCTGCTGTCCATCCATGCAAGAAAGTCTCCGGTCTGGGTCGACGCGTGTTGTTTTTCTTATGCTTTTATAATTTGTACATATAACATAATTCAACGATCTTTCTTGCAAAAGTGGATATATATCACATGTTCTACATCCACTTGATCAAGTCCAAGAGCCTTGAGGTGGACTTTGCGGTGCCAATTTCTTGCACCAAGTCGTCGTCTGTGGCAATTACTCTACTGCCTGCTCCCCACACCAGCTTGAAAACATGGTCACCTAATGACAGCGCAAGCAGGCACGGATACGTAGCAACCAGCCTGACCATGCATGCAGCTAGATGATTTATTTTCTTTCTCGTATTTTTTGTAGTATAATATATCGGCCATAGATCTTGAGACTATGAACTGATTAAACTCTGTGGGCTCATCTATACTATCCAGCTACATAGGTTGTACGTACCTGTCGATTTTATTGTACTAGTAATTTAAGAGTCAACTTGTTCCAAACTATATAAATACGCACACATATATATAATGGTCTGTTGAAACGGTCCGTCGATTGCCTGCTAAAACCCAACGCTAGCTGCCGACTTGATCACAAATATCATATTGGTGCAATGTAATTTTTTCATAGACTCAAGATCTATGGTTAATTAGTAATTGTTGCTTCATATTGTTGGTGATGAAAAAATTCCATGCACGTACGGTGAATAGTCAAGAAAATATCAAGAATATCAAATAGGAATCGACAAATCGATCGACCGATGCGGACATGCATACCCATCGATCTAGAAATCCCAGAAAATTCTACGGCACCATTGGCGTCATCGTTTACTATGAGTGACCGGCACACAACAACGTATTACCTGTTGCATAAGCGCCAAAACGGAAATGGGTCAGCAGCTAGCTCAGCTCACACATTTTGTTCTTCCACTTGTAGGCGTTACTAAGAGGAGGAGATGCTTTACTTGGCGTACTGCTAGTTTCTTCCTCCCAAACAAAGTTAAAACTAGAAGGCAACAAAAGGGAATGCAAGGATGGCACACTGAGTTTCTCACGCAACCACACAATACCATACTGTGTGCGTAGCATGGCCAACGGGCATGTTCATCTCCATCATCATCCTCATCGTCGTCTTCGATCTTTTTATATTGAGATATTTCCTTTCCATGAATGCCATAAAATATCCTCACACCAACATAAGCGCCCATGAGGCCTATATAAATAATATCTAATATTTGAACTGGAATCCAAAGTTCAAAAAAAATTAAAATAATACTAATATCTACTCCCTCTATAAAGAAATATAAAAAGCTCTTATATTTCTTTACGGAGGGGGTGCTATACATATATAAAACAACTCTAGCATGTATTAAAAAAGGTGTGGCTAGATCTCGGTCGACCGAGACATAACCAAGTCTTAATCAAGTGACACAACGTATAAAAGAAAGAAAGAAAAAATTACAGAAAATTTTGCCCGGAAAAAGAAACAATAGTATGTATGCGTGTATATCCATTATGTACTACACACATATGAAAGACAAAACAAAACCAAATGCCCATGTGTAGAAATAGTTTCACTGCAAAAAAGAAAGTGTAGAAATAGTATATGGAACAATAGAATATGGTGCAGTTGATGTATGCACTGGCTAGCTTAGCCACACTCACACTCGACCTCCATCTCCTCTCCTCATCTTCCTATATAACACACGCACTTGCCTCTGCTGCTCCTCTCTTCTACCTACCTATACGGCCTCCATTTCCACACAGCCTTTAGCTAATTATTAAGCTACCACTCTTCCTAGCTAAGCATCTTTTTGAGTTATCCGTGGTGATCGGATGGACAGCGCGAGGAGCTGTCTCGTGGACGACGTGAGCAGCGGCGCGTCCACGGGCAAGAAGGCCTCTCCGGCGCCAGCCGCGCCGGCGACCATGCCGCTGCAGCGGGTCGGCAGCGGGGCCAGCGCGGTCATGGACGCGCCGGAGCCCGGCGCCGAGGCGGACTCCGCCCGCGGCGGGCGGCTGCCGTCGTCCAAGTACAAGGGCGTGGTGCCGCAGCCCAACGGGCGCTGGGGCGCGCAGATCTACGAACGCCACCAGCGCGTCTGGCTCGGCACGTTCACGGGGGAGGCCGAGGCTGCACGCGCCTACGACGCGGCAGCGCAGCGCTTCCGCGGCCGCGATGCCGTCACCAACTTCCGCCCGCTCGCTGAGTCCGACCCCGGCGACGCCGCCGAGCTCCGCTTCCTCGCCGCCCGCTCCAAGGCCGAGGTCGTCGACATGCTGCGCAAGCACATCTACCCCGACGAGCTCGCACAGTACAAGCGCGCCTTCCTCGCCTCGGCGGCGTCCTCCCCTACGTCGTCTTCGTCAGCTCCCGCCTCGTCGGCTCCTTCAGCCGCGGCGCCCTCCGCGGCGGCGCGGCGCGAGCACCTGTTCGACAAGACGGTCACGCCCAGCGACGTGGGGAAGCTGAACCGGCTGGTGATCCCGAAGCAGCACGCCGAGAAGCACTTCCCACTGCAGCTCCCTTCTGCCAGCGCCGTCGTGCCAGGCGAGTGCAAGGGCATGCTGCTCAACTTCGACGACGCGGTCGGAAAGATGTGGAGGTTCCGGTACTCGTACTGGAATAGCAGCCAGAGCTACGTGCTCACCAAGGGGTGGAGCCGCTTCGTCAAGGAGAAGGGCCTGCACGCCGGCGATGCGGTCGGGTTCTACCGCTCCGCCTCCGGCAACAACCAGCTCTTCGTCGACTGCAAGATCCGGTCCAACTCCACGACGACGACGACGACGACCTTCCTTAACGCGGTGGCCGCCCCGTCGCCGGCACCGGTGACGAGGACCGTGAGACTGTTCGGCGTCGACCTTCTCGCGGCACCGGCGCCCGAGCACGAGGAGTACGGCATGGCCAAGACAAACAAGAGATCCATGGACGCCAGCGTAGAGGCGCCCACTCCGGCGCACGCGGTCTGGAAGAAGCGGTGCGTAGACTTCGCGCTGACCTATAGACTTGCCACCGCCCCAGAGTTCCCGAGGTCAAGAGATCAACTAGAAGGAGTACAGGCAGCAGGGAGTACATTTGCTCTATAGACTTGTCACCACTCGCCACAGTGCCCGGGGTCAAGAGATCTGCTGGAATCAGCAGAACCAATACTCTTGACCGACTAACATTCACGTAATAGTAGTGCAGTATATGTAGCGGTTTTTTCTTCTCCGGAAAAAAGTTCCGAATTGTTCATCAAACATTACTATAAAGAACAAGAACATCAGAATTAATGGGAGTTGCATCCACACCCATAGACTACCTAGTGACGACTATAAGCACTCAAGCAAACTGAAGGCGCGGCGCCGTTATCTTCTCACCCTCATCGAAGCTGGGCAAACCTTGTTGTAGTAAACAGTCGCGAGGTTTCTGTGTTAAGGCCTCAAAGCACCCGTGCATCCATACAACAACGATCGATAATGAAGAAAAGCATAAATTGGAAGAATCTAGCCTGTAGACACACGACACCATACGAATGAATACCAAATCCAACACTACATGCATCCGGGCCGGCTCAGTAGTAGCCTCGGGGGCGTTCATTTGTTTCTTTCTTCTTTGCTTCTTGGTTCATTAGTTTCTTTTTCTTTTTGCTTTCTTTTGCTTATATTTTGTGGAATTTGATGAATACATGTATTCTAAAATCAAATAAAACCTTTTGCCATGCATTAGAAAAATGTTAACACGTTGGAATGATTGTGACATTTTAAAAAATGTTCATACATTTCAAAAAAAAAAGTCACATTTAAAAAAATTACACAGTGCAAATAAATGTTTGTGTATTTTCGAAAAAATGTTTCATACCATTATAAAAATCATGACATATAAAAAATGTTCATGCGTTTAAAATTATATTAGTGAAACTTGCAAAGATATGTTTATACAATTTAAAAGTCATATATTTCGAAAAGTTGGTTCTTACAATCCAAACAAATCTCGAACGTTTATTTTTTTAAAATAACATCTATTGAATTTTTTTTAATATGTATTAAAAAATTGTCAAACATGTATTTGAAAAAAATGTTCATCATCTATTTGAGTAATGTTCAGCAGGTATGAAAAACTTGTTCCAAGTGTAAACGAAAAAAATTCAATGTGATTTTAAAAATATCATATTTTTTAAAATGTTGAAGGTGTATCTGAAAAATATTTCATGTGTGTTATAAAATATTCAATGTATATATAAAATGTTTCATATGTATTAAATATATTTAACATGTATTCCTCACATTCAAACATGTATTTGAAAAAATATTTGTCATGTATTTGAAAAAGGGTAAATGTGATAAAATGTACAATGGTATATTCAATATGTAAAAGGTATATTAAAAAGAGTTAAAATTTATTTCACAAAAAATAAAAACAACAAAAAGGAAAAATGGAAACATAAAATAAAAAAACTAATGAAAACCGTAAAGAAAAACAAAAAAAGAACGTCCCGGCGAACAACCCTAACAACACACTAGACAAAACCAATGGAAAGTTCCATGAACCGGTGTTCAGAATATCCCTGCGAACCACTTCACCAGCTGAGCCCAATTGGGCAACGCAACATGTTGTGCCATAGGCGAGGCGGGGCTATTGTCTCACTCCACAACTTGCGTCGTCCTAAGTGTGGAACATGATTTTGTAGCTTTTCCTAAGGATGCAGCCGTGCAGGCGTAGCGGATCGTATGACCCACTACACCTCGAAAACAACAACATAACGGAGGAGGTTCTAATAGAGTCCTTAGAGCTTGCCACGACGGCACCACATTAAATATTGACTACATGGTTAACTAATTTAGGCCCATCACATTCATTGGACACTATATTGCACGTGATTGTGAAACTGCGGTGGAAGATACTGCGCTGGCAACAAACAGAAATTACGAAGCAATCATGAGGCTCATAATAGTTCAAAAAAATTGAGGCACATAATTTCGCTAAGTATGCGTTATATCTAGATGTAGGCCACCACATCTGGCTTTGTACTGATGAATTTGAACATTGTTGTTGAATAAAGTGGAGCGAGGATCTCTCTCGACAAAAAGGAAAACAACTTGTATTTTGAGAAGTATGCTCCGTGATTTTTTTTTCTCTTGTTCGGTATGTAGTAGGATTTTTTTTCTTTAATTCGGGCTTTAGTGTCGTGGTGACGTTGCTCAGATGTTTTTCTTGAATAAAACTCATCTTGCTTCAATCTCGTACCAATAGCACTTCGTCTAGTGTTGCCAAAGAGTTCGTGAGTTTTTATCTCCACCTATCTTATTGTGAGACAGGTTGGTGCTTTGTTGTCATACTTTGGCATGACTCTGTGCCATAGTCGATGACAATGTCATATTATTCAGCACACATTTGGCTCTAGCCTTTTTTTTAAGGTTAAAACAGTAAGAAAGGCTCCTACTGCATATGTATTAAAAGATCAGAGGATCAGAGTATCTGTGGTGTTACATGTATGTACATATGAGTGAGGGGGCAATTGTTGGGGGACGTGGCATAAAATAAAAAAATTTCCTACGTTCACAAAGATCAATCTATGAGTTCATCTAGTAACGAGAGAGAGGAGTGCATCTACATACCCTTGTAGATCGCGAGCGGAAGCGTTCCAGAGAACGAGATTGAGGGAGTCGTACTCGTCGTGATCCAAATCACCGGAGATCCTAGCGCCGAACGGACGGCACCTCCGCGTTCAACACACGTATGGTCAGCGTGACGTCTCCTCCTTCTTGATCCAGCAAGGGGGAAGAAGAGGTTGATGAAGATCCAGCAGCACGACAGCGTGGTGGTGGATGCAGCAGGGATCCGGCAGGGCTTCGCCAAGCGACTACGGGAGCGAGAGGTGTAGCAAGG